TTTCTCCTATAAAGTATTCTGTAATAAACTGAGAGTTTAAAGTTGCTATATAGAGACATTGCACCTCTCTAATTCATTGTTAATACTATGAAGGGGGGATTTACATTTGGTAGAAGAGGTATTTAGGGAAGATGGAATTTCTGGTATTTTTAAATCCATTTAGTAGCCCCATGTGTGAGGTGAGCTTTTTTCCTTCTGTCAACTCTATCTGGAATATCACAATTCAAAAAGGGAAGTGTTTACAGCTGTTGATTGGATTTTTCCATTTCCATGCCAGTGCCAAGAATAAATCTCGAAAGCATGAGGGACATTTGGGGCACTTCTTTTCCTAGCATTTCTGGAAAAAAGATACATGTTGCCTTCCCAAGTGTAAAAGAAGCCTCCACTTCCTATGCGCTAGTAAGTATTTTTAAGAGTCCCTTTGGCCACCTGATTCTGTATTAACAACAGGAAGTCATTGAATTAAAAAATTATTTTTTAATAGCAATACCACAAGTCAGTTTTTCTATTTCCATCTGATGACTACTCTATCTTTATTCTAGGACTTTTGAGCAAACAGTCCATGGTTATTTCAATATACAATCATTCTTTAGTTCCAATCACTCTCTGCATCCACTACAGGCCATTTTCAAAAGATCAGATAACAAAACTTTGATTTGTTTCCCTTTGGGTCAGGAAAACATGCCCTGTGTCACGCAAACCAGAGAGGTCTCTCTAAAGCTGCTTGCCAGAAGTGGTCATCATCCTCACAATTGAACTCTCAGTATCCATCCTTACTTCAAGTGGATGAGAACAATAACTACCTCTGCAGCTGCAGAGTCAACACACATTCTTAAAGTTTTTGTTATTGTTTAAAAATAGTAAAATAAAAAAGAATGTGCACAGTATGATTTATTGAGAGAGAAGGGAAGTTTGGGAAGGAACTAGAAATAATTGTGCAGAAGGTCCCATGGAATTCTTAAATTACTCAGTCTTTTTATATGTTTAAATAAGCTTGAAAAATGATCATCAGTTCATAAAATTTTCATCTACAGGCTCACAATTAGCATTGTCCCCTCTCTTTTCTAACCATGTCCACTCCCTTATATCCACCTTCATTACTTCCTATTCTGTGACCTCTCTATTCTAGCAACAAAACCGGAGTTTTCAGTAATTTTATTTAACCAAGAGAATATAAGTACCACTCAGTAAATATTTTCTAAGTGCCTCACATCTTATACTCCCCCCGTATACAAACTGTCAAGAGAGCTAAATTTAAAAAGAATTAAGAACATTTTAAAACAGGAATCTTTAAGGTATTCTATGTTTGCACACGATGGTAAATGTGACATTGCTTTGTTAAGGTAAATTGATCATAATTTTATTTTTCATTTTTATATTTTTCTAATATTCTTGCTCTTTAAAAAATTTTTAAATTTATACTTAAGTTCTGGAATAGATGTGTAGAACATACAGGTTTGTAACATAGGTATACATGTGCCACGGTAGTTTGCTGTACCTATCAATCCCTCATCTACATTAGGTATTTCTCTTAATGCTATCGCTCCCCTTGCCTCCCACCCCTCAGCAGGTTCCATTGTGTGATGCTCCCCTCCCTATGCCCATATGTTCTAATTGTTCAGCTCCACTCATGAGTGAGAACATGTGGTGTTTGGTTCTCTGTTCCTGTGTTAGTTTGCTAAGAATGGTGGTTTCTAGCTTCACCCATGTCCCTGCAAAGGACATGAAGTCTTTTTAGGGCTACATAGTATTCCATGGGGTATATGTGCTACATTTTCTTTATCCAATCTGTCATTAATGGGATTTTGGGTTGGTTCCAAGTCTTTGCTATTGTGAATAGTACAGCAATAAACATATGTGAGCATGTGTCTTTACAGTAGAATGATTTATAATCCCTAGGGATATACCCAGTAATGGTATTACTGTGTCAAACAGTATTTCTAGTTCTAGATCCTCGAGGAATCACCACACTGTCTTCCACAATGGTTGAAGTAATTTACACTCCCACCAACAGTGTAAAAGTGTTCCTATTTCTCCACATCCTCTTCAGCATCTGTTGTTCCCTGACTTTTTAATGATCACCATTCTAAGTGGCGTGAGATGGTATCTCATTGTGATTTTGACTTGAATTTCTCTAATGACCAGTGATGTTAGCTTTTTTTCATATGTTTGTTGGCCACATAAATATCTTCTTTTGAAAAGTGTCTGTCCATATCCTTTGCCCACTTTGATGGAGTTTTTTCTTGTAAATTTGTTAAAGTTCCTTGTAGATTCTGGATATTAGCCCTTTGTCAGATTGATGGATAAATCACAAAAATTTTCTCCAATTCTGTAGGTTGCCTGTTCACTCTGATGATAGTTTCTTTTGCTGTGCAAAAGCTCTTTAGTTTAATTAGATCCCATTTGTCAATTTTGGCTTTTTAAAATTTTTTACTTAATAGAATACAAGTTAAAATCAGTTTTACTTCATTATTTCATTGGTTTTAAAAATTAGTTTTAAGGAGGTAAGACATTAAGACCAATATTTCTTCCTGGAAGTTGACAGTCTGTTTCTTGAAAAGTGGATCCATTTTATTAATTTTTAACGTATCTATGGCCTGATTTTCTTTAGACATTTACAGATTTTTAAATTATTTATTTATGTGTTTGTTTTTATAAGACAAGATCTTACTCTGTCACCCATGCTGGAGTGCATTGGCATGATCACCAGGCTCACTGCAACCTTGACCTCCCAGGCTCAAGAGTTCTTCCCATCTCAGCCTCCCAGAGTAGCTGGGACTATAAGAACATACCACAATGCCTGGCTAATTTTTCTACATTTTTTTTTGTAGAGATAGGGTTTCACCATGTTGCCCAGGCTGGTCTGAAATCCTTAGCTCGAGATCCACCTGCCTCAACCTCCTGAAGTGCTGGGATTACAGGTGTGAGCCACTGTACCCTGCCTCCAGATTTTTTAAATAGGAACTATAAATCAAATGAATTTATTTTTTAGACATAGTTTATATTTTCCCATGATATCAGTTCATGAGATAGTCTTCCTAGTAATACACTATTAGAGACATACATTATTTTTGAGTGAATTTCTACCTGCAGCATCATGTGACTTCTACTAAAAATTTCTAATTATTTTTCAAATGCTATTCACATAGGATATTTGTGAATAGCTCAAGGATTAAAATCACATATTCACATTTTCGGCATCAAATAAAATAATTCATAATGAAAAGCTGTCATTTTTTAGAGCAGACTCTATTATTTCATTCACTCAAACCTCCCTTACAGACCTTGGATGATGCCAGTATCACTAGGATTATTGCAAGTTTGCTAAGTATAGATGCTGGAGATTTGGTAAGTAAATTAGCTGTTCTACCTTAAAACAAATGGCTTGAATCCTACACTGAAAAGGAAGTATCTATGTGGACCCAATGTGATAAAAATTTCTTGATTTCTGCCAATATCTGAAGTAATTTCCTTCAACACTGTAGAGAGCTCCTTGAACAATTTGCTTCTTTCTTTCTCCTCCCCACCCCACCCACCATACTTGAATTCTTGCCATAGGGGAGGGGCTTTCTCAGAATAAGAATGTGAATTTGGTTCCATTCCTTGTTTACTCTACCCATTGTATCCCAAAAAAGTTCTGAGAAAGCTCAGTGGCTATGACTAAGTGAATTAAGAAAAAGAGCGCTAAAAAGCTGGCAGTGAATACAGGTGGCATTTTTTCCCTGCTTCTGAATGAAATTGAGAAATCAACAACTGCCTGCGGCTGAACCACCAGGGTGGTTGCAGCATCATTGCAACTCTTATTGCCCATAAATTTAGTCCAATGCAATTGGGCTATTTTCACAGAAACTCAGTGGAAGACAAGTGAAGTAAAATTTACAGCCTGATGGCAAATGACTTAGATTAGTGCCAGAAAAGTAAAGGAGGGAGGAATAGAGCTGCTATATCATATCATCATCCTCTCAACACTGGATTAATGAATCCCAGAGAAGCTGATGGTAGACTAGTAAGAGCATCACTAAACACATTTCTTCATTTATAGTGTTAAGGCATACAGATTATTTGCAAAAAGCTAATTCAGTACTACAATTTCACTCGTCTTTGAAGAGAGAGAGACAATTGATATTTATTTCCTTTTTCTTTTTTAACTTGAAAAGACACTCTTTCGATTAAATATTTTTCTGGTATGGATCAAAGTAAGTTTACTGCAATCGCAAGGAATAGATAACAACTGAATTACTTACTGCAAACTGAGAACTGAAAATAGACAGCCAAACTTAGAGATGTTGAGGAACTCACTTTCTGTCAATAAAGAAACAAGATTCTTCACAGCTTGATTTGCATAAATGTTTTTAGAAAATATAAGAAACAACTAATTTTTATGATATAATTTAGAGAAATTTATGGAAAAGTCTAAAGCAGTTACCTATAAAGCAGTCAACCAAAAATGTAACTAATGCAAAGGATTCTGAAAACACAGGGCTTATAACTTCGTTTTAAATTGTATTGAAATAAAGAAGGAGTGATATTTAATAATTAGTAACCTCAAAGGGTAAGTGTTCCTCCTCATGAAGAGCATACACACAAGAACCTAAGTAATAATTTTCCCAGTGTATTGTTAGTACTACCAGGGGATCATTTGTCCTCTGACAGTCCAGTCCGGTGTCCTGAGTTTTATCACTTGGCTACTGAGTGTCCTGGCCTGGACCACAAAGCTATTTAACTTCCTTTGCCCTGCTTTTTTGGCTTAACATGCCCGCTGCATACCATGATTTTCTTTCTTAGCAACTGGTTATTTAATTATTTCAATCTTCTTTCATAATACCTTTAAGAAATAATTATTAGGTAGTATTTTCATATTGTATTATGTAATTTTATTTTAAAATATTATTATAAAACATAACATATATGAAAGATGACATGGTTTATAGGTACAGTTTAAAGAATAAATAATTTTTAATGTACCCACCATAGCTTAGAAACCCCTAAGAGAAATCAACAACTTCCCCCTTACCCCGACCTATCCTGGAGATAAAAGCGTCATCATGAATTTTTTAATTAATCCTTCCCTTGCCTTTCTTTATGGTTTTATTACTTCTGTATATGTCTCTAAAATCATCTATTATTCATACTTTATGCTTTATATATTGTTCAGATACTTCTTACTTCACTCATGGTATATTTTGGAGATTTCTCCATGTTGGTACATATAAGTGAAGTTAATTCAGTTTCACTGTTGAGTATCTTCCATTATATGAATACAATATAAGTTACATATTTGGGCTATCAGTGACAGGTGTTTGGTTTGTTTCCAGGTTTTTAGTTTATAAACAATGTCACTGTGAACATTCTTCTATGTGCCTCCTTGTATATGTGTTGAAGAGTTCCTCTGAGGAACATGCCTAGAAATTGAATTACTGGGTCAGAGTTCAAATCTACTAGGTAATGCCTAACTATTCTAAATATATATAAAAAACCAAAGTGCTGAGAAAAAAAAGAACCCCATCAACTAAGAATCCTGTGTCTAGAAAAATTATTCTTCTTAAATGAAGGGGTAATAAAATACTGAGGGAATTTATTACCACTAGACTGGCCTACAAGAAATGCTCATGGGGGTTCTAAGCCTGGAAGTGAAAGGATGACATTTGCCATCATGAAGACACATGACAGTATAAAACTCACTGGTAAAGCAATCACACAAAGGAGGAAGATAAGGGATCCAAATGATACCACCACAGAAATCCACCAAATCACAAAGACTAATAATAAGAGAAAAGGAAAGTAATAGAGAATATAAATAACAACCAGAAAATAATTAACAATGTGATAATAACAAAGCCTCACATATCAATTATAACTTTAAATGTAAAGAATTAAATTCTCTGCTTAAAAGATATAGAATGGCTGAGTGGAATTTTAAAAAAATGATACAATAGTTTGCTTACAAAAAATGTACTTACCAGTAGAGACATATGTAGACTGAAAGTAAAGGGATGGAAAAAGGTAATTTATGCCAATGGAAACCAAAAGCAAGAAGGAGTAGCTATACTTACATAAGATCAAAAAAACTAAATCAAAAACAATTAGACAAAAAAGGTCATTATATGATAAGGGGATCAATCCAGCAAGAGGACATAACAATTCTAAATATATATGCACCCAACATTGGAGCACTCAGATTTATAAAGCATATGTTGCTGAATCTAAAGACAGAAATAGACATAAATACAGTAATAGTGGGGAACTTCAACATCCTACCCTCAGCATGAGACAGATCTAGACAAAAAATCAACAAAGAAACATTGAATTTAAACTGGACTTTAGACCAAATGAACATAACAGACATTTACAGAAATTCTACCCAACAACTGCAGTATATACTTTCTTTTCATCAGGATATAGAACATTTCCCTGGATTAACCACATGTGAGGCTGCAAAAGAAGCCCCAACAGGCTGGGTGCAGTGGCTCATGCCTGCAATCCCAGAGCTTTGGGAGGCCAAGACAGGCAGATCATGAGGTCAAGAGATCCAGACCATCCTGGCCAACATGGTGAAACCCCATCTCTACTAAAAATACAAAAATTAGCTGGGCCTGATGGTGCACGCCTGTAGTCCCACTTACTCAGGTGGTTGAGGCAGGAGAATCACTTGAACCCAGGAGGCAGAGGTTGCAGTGAGCCAAGATCGTACCACTATACTCCAGCCTGGCAACAGAACGAAACTCCATCTGAAAAAAAAAAAAGAAACAATATCAAGTATCTTCTCAGACCATAATTAAATATAACTGAAAATTAATACCAAGAACTTCAGAAACTATACAAATACATAGAAATTAAACAACATTGACCATTGGGTCAGTGAAGAAATAAAGATGAAAAATCAATAAATTTATTGAAACAAATGAAAAGAGAAATTCATACCAAAATCTGTGGGATACAGCAAAAGTAATACTAAGAAGGTTGTTTATAGTATTAAATGCCTACACTGAAAAAGTAGAAAGATTACAAATTAACGATCTAACAGTTCACCTCAAGGAACTAGAAAAGCAAGAACAAATAAAATCCAATTTAGCAGAAGAAAACAAATAATAAAGATCAAGGCAAAGCTAAATGAAATGAAGACTACAAACAATACAAAGGAAAAATGAAACAAAAAACTGGTTCTTCAGAAAGAGAAACAAAATTGATAGACCACTAGATAGCTTAACCAAGAAGAGCGTGAAGTTAAAAAGTCAGAAATCAAAAAGGAGACAATACAACTGATACCATAGAAATGCAAGTTATCAGAGACTACTATGGACAACTATACACTGACCAACTGGAAAATCTAGAGGAAATGGATACATTCCTGAAAACATACAATCTACTAGGATTTTATCAGGAATGAATAGAAAACCTAAACAGACCAATAATGAGTAGTAAGGTTGAATCAGTAATAAAATGCCTCCCAACAAAGAAAAGCCCAAACTGGATGAATTTATAGTCAGATTCTACCAAATGTGTGAAGAACTAATAATATAAATCCTCTTGAAACTATTCCAGAAAATCAAGGAGGAGGGAATTCAAAAAGAAAACTACAAGCCAATATGTCTGATGTATAAAAATCCTCAACAAAATACTAGCAAACCTAATCCAACAGCACATCCAAAACATAATACACCACAATCAAGTGAGACTTATACCAGAGATGCAAGGATGATTCAACATATGCAAATTAATGAACATGATACATTACTTCAACAGAAGAAGGATGTAAACTATATGATAACCTCAATAGATGCAAAAAAGCATTTGATAAAATTAAACATTATTTTAAAATAAAAAGCTTCAACAAACTAGGCATGGAAGAAACATAACTCAAATTAATAACAGCTATATATGGAAAACCCATAGCTAACATTGTACTGAATGAGAAAACACTGAAAGCATTTCCTGTAAGAACTGAAACAAGTCAAGGATGCCCACTTTTACCACTCCTAGTCACCATAGTATTGGAAGTTCTAGCCAGAGAAATCAAGCAATAGAAAGAAATAAAGGACATCCAAATTGGAAAAGAGGTAGTCAAATTGTTCCACTTGGCTGATGATATAAAATTACACTTAGAAAAAACTACAGACTCTACCAAAAAACTCTTAAAATTGATAAACAAATTCAGTAAAATTGCAGGATACAAAATCAACCTACCAGAAATCAGTAGTGCTTTTTATACCAATAATGATTTAGCTGAGAAAGAAAACAAGAAGAAAATCCTATTTACAATACCTCCAAAAAAATAAAATACCTAGGAATGAATTAACCAAGGAGGTTAAAGATCTCTACAAGGGGAACTTAAAAATACTGATCACAGAAACACAAACCAATGGAAAAATATCCCATGCTTATGGATCAAGAATTAATATTATTAAAATGATCATATTGCACAAAGCAATCTAGAGATTCAATGCAATGCTTGTCATAATACCAATGTAATTCTTCCCAGAATTAGAATAACAATCATACAATTCATATAGAAACAAAAAAGAGCCTGAATAGCCAAAGCAATACTGAACAAAAAGAACAAAGCAGGAGACATCACATTACTTGACTTCAAAACGTATTGCAAGGCTATAGCAACCAAACAGCATGGTATTAGAATAAAAATAGACACATGAACCAAACGAACAGAATACAGAATACAGAAATAAATCTACTTATTTATTACCAGCTGCTTTTTGGCAAAACCCACAATAACTTATCTTGGGAAAAGGACTACCTTTTCAAAAAATGATGATAGGAAAATTGGATAGCCACATTCCAAAGAAGGAAACTTGACCCCTATGTCTTATCATATACAAAAATAAACTCAAAATGGGTGAAGACTTAAATACAATACATGAAAATATAAAAATACTAGAACATAACTTGGGGAAAATTCTCCTGGACATTGGTCTAGGCAAGCAATTTATGGCTAAGACCTCAAAAGCACAGGCAACAACAACAACAAAAAAGGCAATAGGACTTAATTAAGCTAAAAAGTTTCCACAGAACAAAAGAAATAAGCAACAGAGTAAAGAGACAACCTGTTGAATGGAATAGAATATTTGCAAACTATTCATTCAGCAAGGGACTAATATGAGAAATGCAAACACCTCAGCAACAACAGCAACAACAAAATTATCCTATTAAAAAGTGGGCAAAGGAAATGAATAGACGTTTCTCAAAAGAAGACATATAAATAGCCAACAGGTGTATTAAAAAATACTAAACATTACTTGTCATCAGAAATATGCAAATCAAAACCACAATGGGATGCTATCTTACCCCAGTAAGAATGGCTATTACTAAAAACACTGAAAAATAAAAAATACATCTTGGTGAGGATGCACAGAAAAGGAAACTCTTATACACTGTTGGTGGGAATGTAAACTAGTCATCCACTGTAGTTAACGCTATGAAGGTTTCTAGAAAAACTGAAAGTAGAATTACCATTTGATCTAAAAATCTCACTGCTCATATCTACAAAATCAGTGTTTCAAAGGGCTACCTGCACTCACATGTTTACTGCAGAATTATTCACAATAGCAAAGATGTGAAATCAACCTAACTATCCATTAATAGATGATTGGATAAAGAAAATGTATATATAAACAATGAAATACTTTATTCAGCCATAAAAAAGAACAAAATCATGTAATTTAAAGAAACATGAATGGAAAGTCATTATCTTAAGTGAAATAAGCCAGGCACAAAAAGACATATCACATGTTCTCACTTACATGTTCGAGTTAAAAAATTTTGATCACATGGAGGTAGAGAGTGAAAAGGTAGATAACAGAGACTAGGAAGGGTGAATAGCAGGGGGGAAGGATGAAGAGTAGTAGGTGAAAGGGTATACAAACATATAAATAGATAAAAGGAAGAAATTCATTGTTTGACAAGAATAGAGTAACTATTGTTAAAAATCTATTGCACTTGGGTAATGGACACCCTGAATACTCTGACTTCATCACTATGCATTATATATATGTAATGAAATTTCACATGTACCCAGAAATTTGTACAAATTTTTAAAAGATAAAATCAGGCCGGACGCGGTGGCTCAAGCCTGTAATCCCAGCAATTTGGGAGACCAGGCAGGTGGATCACGAGGTCAAGAGATCGAGACCATCCTGGTCAACATGGTGAAACCCCGTCTCTACTAAATATACAAAAGAAATAGCTGGGCTTGGTGGTGCGCGCCTGTAGTCCAAGCTACTCGGGGGGCTGAGGCAGGAGAATTGCCTGAACCCAGGAGGCGGAGGTTGCGGTGAGCCGAGATCGCGCCATTGCACTCCAGCCTGGGTAACAAGAGCGAAACTCCATCTCAAAAAAAAAAAAAAATCAAACACTAAAAAAAGGATGATTTTTACTTTCTTTTTGTTTGCATTTATATAGGTTGCCTTTGCTCTTCCTCTTATTGTCAGCCTCTCTGAATGACTTTGTCAATCTATTCTTAAAGCAATGAACGTACCTAATATATGTAACAGATAGTTGAGAAGAAGTAGACTACAACCATGTTTTAGCTATGAAAAGGGCAGTCGGAATTCCTGAGAAAATTTCCATCTCAGTTTTCTTCCTTATAAGCAATAACATAAAATGGCCCAGTGCCACCAAAAGCATATTTCCTATGCCCAAGAGGGGCAGAGAAGCAAAGGGTTACTTGATTTTCCCACAAAGAAATATGAGGGAAGTTCTTTTCGTGGTTGTGCATTTGTTTCTTTTTAAACAAAGATTAATTATTCTTCTTTCTTTTACTTACTACAAAGTAGAAAATGAATTGTTATACTGATTTGGACTGGTGAGATAAACCAATGCCCTGAACTCAATTAGGCTTCTATGGTCTCTCCTTGCTTAAAAGTATTTTTATGGAATATGTTGAAACTGTGTTATTTAATTACTATATTTTTTATCTGTTACTCTCCTTTGGCCAATATTTTTCTCTTTAAAAATTAAAGACCAAGGCAGGCAGATCACGAGATCAGGAGATCGAGACCATGCTGGCCAATATGGTGAAACCCTGTCTCTACTAAAAACACAAAAATCAGCTGGGCGTAGTGGCATGCGACTATAGTCCCAGTACTCGGGAGGCTGAGGCAGGAGAATTGCTTGAACCTGGGAGGTGGAGGTTGCAGTGAGCCGAGATTGTGCCACTGCACTCCAAACTGGCAACAAAAAAGAAATATTAGGGGCAGACAAAAATTGGTACAATCACACTTCGGAAAACTGGCAGTATCTACAAAAGCTGAAGCTCATATCCCTTATGAGCTAGCATCCCACTTCTGGGTTTATACCCAACAGAAATGTGTGTGCATAATCACCAAAAGAGCACACTAGAGTGCTCATGGAAACACTATGCATAGTAATTAAAGATTAGAAACCACCCAAATATCCATAAAGAGTAGAATGGATATAAAAATGGTGATATTCATAACAATGGAATACTCTATAGAAATAATGATAACATGCAATAATATGAATAAATCCTACAAAGATAACATTGAGTGAAAGGTGCCAAGCATGAAAGATTACATACTGCATGAGGCTGTTTACATAAAATATCAAAGCAGGTAAAACTAATGGATACTATGGGCTGTCTGGCTGATAATATTGTTTCTTAGTCTAAGTACCGGTTACACAGGTGTCTCAGTTTGTAAATATTCCTCACCCTGTATGCTTATGACACATGCACATTTTTGTGTATATATCATACATCAATAAAGAGTGTGTGTGTGTGTGTGTGTGTGTGTGTGTATGTGTCTTGTTTTGTTTCGTCTTTATAGCAAACAAACAAAAAGTATCACTTTACACAGCTGGTTGGTACAACTCACCTCCAAGGAAACAAATCTCCTCTTACCTCTGAGGGACTAGATCTTATCTCATTATCACTTAAGTTTTTCTTATTTTCAATCTGATAATTCAGGGAAATAACTGCCTTGACGCTTACATCCTGAATCATCACCACAGCAACCCCTTCCACCCCAAGTGTGGCTTCATCTTCACCACTACCTCCCCTCCATCCTGCAATTAAAATCTTGATCCAGGGGTAATAGGGACACCTGTCAGCTCAAGTACAGGTTAACCCACCAGAGCACCTGTGTCCTCTATCCTCCACCTTCTGCTCTGAATGTACACATTTAGCTCTGACACATGTCATGCACAGCCTCTCAGCAACTGCTGAAATCAGCCTTGTTTGGGTAGGGAGTGCACCTCAGGGTTTTGCCCATCTCTGCCTCTCTGACAGCTATGCTAGGCCCCTGCAGAAGAGATCAGAATCTCATTACCCCTCCCTGTCCTTACAGCAAACACAATACGGCAAAATAATTACTAATTCTGCATTCAATCACACGTTGCCTACAACTCAGCATTCAGCATTTACAAATATGCTGATCTATTATCAGGTACTAATCTGGTTCTTTTCTGTATAAAGAAAAATATCACAATAAATTCAATGAGCTCTCAAGAGAATTGTCTAAATCAAAAAACCTTTTGTTTCTATTTAGACTCCACAATACCCTGTTTGATAAACTAGCTGTGCTAAGCAGTGGCTGAACAACTGATTTTACACTCATGGGAGCATGAGTTCGGCTTAAGATGAATATGAAGTAGAATAGAACGAAATTCCTGGAGAGTTCTGAGTCCCCTCAACTCAAGAGGTCCTGTTTTCCAAGGGAAAAAAAGGATAAAACAACATGCATTCTTTTTATCACTTTCTTGCTACTTATGTATGTGAAGAACCAGGTACCCATCCCTGCTGAAATAGCACCCTCTCAGCATTTTAAATAATTAAAAATGAACAAACCCAGTAATTTTATGCAAATAGAATTTAGTTCATAAATGTCTCTACTAGGTCTCTATTTCTGTAAATTCTCTTTGTCCTTTCCCTAGCAGTTATGTAGGGGTCAGATATTGCTGGGCAACTGGTTTAATAAATGGATAATGAAGAGGAATAGATGACACAGAATTAGAATGTAGGAGAATACTTGTATTTCTTTTTTTTTTCTTTTCTTTCTTTTTTTTGAGACAAAGTCTGGCTCTGTCACCCTGACTGGACTGTAGTGGCATGATCTCAGCTCATTGCATCCTCTGCCTCCCAGGTTCAATCAATTCTCCTGCCTCAGCCTCCTGAGTAGCTGGGATTAAAGACATGTGCCACAATATCCAGCTAATTTTCGTATCTTTAGTAGAGGTGGTTTCATCATGTTGGTCAGGCTGGTCTCAACCTCCTGACCTCAAGTGATCACCCACCTCAGCTTCCCAGAGTGCTGAAATTATAGGCATAAGCCACTCTGCCTGGCCTCAATTATATTTCTTAAATTCAGAATTTATTTTTGCTTTATTATATTACTTAAAGGCTAAATTACACTAGGAATTTTACTTCAACACATATAGTTGACTACGTGTTTAATAAACTACATATATCTACATACAGAGAGAGTAACTATAAAAACGGGAGCTATGTTTAGATATCAGCTATTATACATACAAGGAGTTGCCAGTGGAAAACCAGCTAAAGATAACTAGTTCCATGCCCAAGCATGTTCATTCAATGTTTCTCATTCCATCATTATGTTACTTTTGATACTGAGGACTTTGTAGTCTGCCAGAATTATAATTTAAATAACCCTTGGTTGATATTAAGGCAGAAACACTAATACTTTAGCTTTCTACTGAAAAGTGGTTTCTATGGAAACAGAACATAAGTATGCTCCTCTAAGGACTGGGCACAGTGACGTGGGAAAGGTCCCCAGAAGAAGCTGAGGGTACGGATGACACATTTTGCTTCCTGAGCACTTTTTTCTCATGAGGATTAGCTGATAGCCCCCATGTGGTTCTCAACCTCATCACCGCTCACAAGAAGTGCTTTTTACTGAACCCATCCCAGTATGCTTCACCTGAACTTGAGCTTGAAAAACAGTTCTGATTGTAGAGAGGCCAGATTTCAGCACCTCTAGTCCGATTGCTCAGCATCCTACAGGACCTTCCTGCATTCTGCTCCTCGCCTGTCCTCTCTGATTTCATCTCCTGTTACTTTCCTACTTATTGCTTTCTACAAGCTACACAAGGCTCCCTGCTTTCTGGAAAATTTCGGATCCACTCCAGCCTCAGAGCCCCAGGGCCTTTGCACCTGCTGTTTCCTCTGCCTCCTTTTTCTAGGCTACTTATCCCCAAGACATCTCTGGGGAGCACTCCATTATCTTCTTTTTTGGCTTTATTCAAATGTCACCTTAGTGATAACATCCAATGCTTACTACCTCCTTTTCTTGCTTTATTTTTCTTTAAAGTATTTAATGTCATCTAGTAAACTGTGTATTTTACTTACCTTCTTTTCCTTGATTTTCTATCTTTCTTACTATCAGCCACATGAGAACAGGAATCTTTGTCTCTTTTTGCTGTTTTCCCAGCATCTAGTAGAGTACCTGGCACAGGGAAGACACTCAATGATAAATTGTTGAATGAATACATGAACAAATGAATGGTTTAGTCATGCAGGCTCGATAAATGAGATTCTGTCTTATCCTTTAGGCTTGGAAATTGCTTTGGCAACTTTCCTACATTATCAGCACCTCAAGGATTAGCCCTAGTCCTGTTCTCTTGGGACTTGGATCCTGACCCTGAACTCCTACCTAAGTTTGTCTCCCATTGTTTCTTAACTAACTTTTCCCTAGTTCCCATTTTCTGAATGTCTAAACACTTCTATCCCTGGAGATCGCCATTATTACCGTGTATTTTTCTGTAGAATCATTCATTACTTGGTCTTCATTTTGTCAACAGATAATTTTGAGTGAATTCCATATACTGGGAATTATGCAATATCCTGGGGATGAAAAGATCAAGACACAGCCTGCAGATATCTAGGACTTATTGTTTTAATACCCTGTTTTGTCTTTCAGCTTAGATCTTAGGTTCTTTTTTTTTGAGACGGAGTTTCACTCTTGTTACCCAGGCACGATGGCGCGATCTCGGCTCAGCGCAACCTCCGCCTCCTGGGTTCAGGCAATTCTTCTGCCTCAGCCTCCCGAGTAGCTGGGATTACAGGCACGCGCCACCATGCCCAGCTAATTTTTTGTATTTTTAGTAGAGACGGGGTTTCACTATGTTTGTTGACCAGGATGGTCTCAATCTCTTGACCTCGTGATCCACCCGCCTCGGCCTCCCAAAGTGCTGGGATTACAGGCTTGAGCCACCGCACCCGGCCCAGATCTTAGGTTCTTGATAAACAGCTCTGTCTATCTCCAAAGATGGGAGCCTAATTTTAGGACAAAATTCTTCCCCAGCATGCCCTGTACTGCTGTAGCTAACAAGCCATGTCTAACAAAGTCAGAAATTAGAGGCCAGCCTCATAGAATATACGCTGAAAAAAACACAAGAATACCTGTAAACCCTATATTATTGATTTTATATCCTATTGATTTTCTCCTTGGATTATTTTCAGAAATACTGAGCACCTTTGTTTTAAATAAATTCAAAATATCTTAGCAAACCATTATTTCCTTCCTCTTCTCCATTAAAATATTCTTCACTTAGCAACTTAGGCGATACCAAATGTGTTCCAACAGCCAAAGGTTTCATTCTGTAAATCTGAAACTTTCCCTTTGGCTTAGAAGTGAAAAAAAACTTGTACTTTTTTAGGCTCCTCTCTTTCAAGTTCTTCCCTGAAGGTTTGGATATTCATCAGATATTTTAATTACTGAAAGTCATTACTTTTTATAAAGAGCCCATTTAGAGAACAATCATGAAATATACTCTGCTTCATGAGAAATCGATGGTTGCTCTGAAAAACAAAGCTTAATCCAATATGAAGGTCATGTAATAGCTCACCAGATAATTCTGTCTAAACACACTCCTTATCTCTGTATTGCCAAAACCATTGAGCTCACAAGTCCTCTACAACCAAACACATTCATCAAATGCAAATGTCTTCCACTTACATTTGCTTGCTTTTTTCAGGAAGAATGATGGAAGGGCCAATACCCTGTGCTTCACCGTTGCCTGCATGCTAGATGACTGTATTTACTGGTGCAGTGGCTAACTGCTCAATTGCCATCTTCATTCAGGCTGCAGGGTTACCATGTTAAGCACAGCCCACAGAACCAGAAGAAATGTGTTCAGGGTTTTTAATCTTTCAGCCCACAGATTGCCCACTGCACATGAGTAAAGTTTTTACAACCACATTATAACCAGGAATGAGCTATCTTCTCATGTAGATCCAAGTTAAATAGACTGTATTACAAATAATTGCTTTCCTTAATCTAACTAATGGAATCGCTATGCTGAAGGGTAAGGAAAGGCAGCCAAAGCAGTGGTGCCCATTCTGCTGATATGCAGGGCAGAGTCCTGGCTGACCACTTCTCAGTTCAGGCCAGACTCACTTTGTATTCCCATGTAACCTGAAGTTTCAGCCCTAAAAAAGAAAATCCTCAAAATGGTGTGAGTCTTAAAAAATATTCCTTCAAAAGTAGCCTGGGCAACATCATGAGACCTTGTCTCAACAAAAAATAAGAAATTAGTTGGGCATGCTGGCACACTCCTGTAGTCCCAGCTACTTGGGAGGCTGATGTGGGAGGATCACTTAAGCCAAAGAGTTCAAGATTAAAATAAGCTATGATTACATCACTGCACTCCAGCCTGGGTGACAGAGTGAGACCCTCATCTTGAATAAATAAATAAAAATAAATATTCTTAATAACATACCTTAATATTATTTAATAAGTATAGCTAATGAATATTCCCTGGAAAAGCTTTATTTCTAGACCTTGGAGAACTCACAATTTCCATCATCTGACAATAGTGAGAAAATGAATTTAATCATTTTAAAGCCCAGGTAAAAGACCCCATTTTCTTCTTCCATTTTTCTGGATTGGTCGGTGAGTAATGTTTTCTCTCTGTGATCTTCAATCCTTTCTTCTCCCATGACTATTTTTCCTAGATCTCTTTTCTCATCTTAATAAAAACCTTGCCAGACATGGCTACTTCACCAAGTTCCCGATGTGTCTTCCTTTCCCGTCATTATTAACATCTTCATGGAGTAGGCAAAATGCTCACTGCTTTTATTCCTCTCCTCATAGTTGCTTCTTAACTCCCTGGCCCTGTCATTTGAATTCCACAGTCATTAATTAATTACACTTTCCAAAGACACCAGTTGATTTTAAATATCAAACACATTCTACTGGGTCATTAGGCTTCTTGAGCATTTGACACTCTTAATTTTCCCTCCATTGTGCAATTTTCCTCCCTTCGTTTGTGTTACTACCCTTTTTATTCCTTTTTCCATCCCCCCTCAAATACAGACATTTCCCAAGATTCAGGCTTTAGTCTTCATGTTCTTTTATTTGGCATGCTCTACCTTGATGATCTCATCCAAGGCTTCCACTATCCCTTCTGAAGCAAATCATCCTTGACTCTGTCTCTGGCATTAACATTTCTTCTGAGTTCTTAACCCACATTCCAATGGCTTCCTGGTCATCACCAGAAAACGATCAAAGCTGGTAGCATCGATAAACATCTTTCAAATCAAACTCACCATTTTCCCAAAAGATATTCCTACACTCCCATTTACTGTCTTGACAAATGTCATCTGAGTATACACATCACTCCACAGAGAAACTATCACTCCAGAGAGCAAGGGAGTTAACTCCCTTCTATTCTTTATCATTTAATTAGTTCAGTAGCTAAATCCTATTAGCTCTACCCAACCCTGTTGCCCACCACTATCCCGTCCATCCTATCCTGTCTGCTGTCTCTCATTCATACCTCCCCTGTTCCCTCATGCACCTTTACCTGCCCTGGCTCCAGATTCCCACCTCTCATGTATTTATGCACTTTTAATTCAGTTATTGTTCTATGGCAATATATGACAATACCATAATCCTAAATGGCTCCCTCTACTGGATGAAATTCCAACTCTCTGCTACCTTTCAAGCCCTGTTTGCCTCACACCTTCACACACATAGCCTAAACTCTGGCCACATTTTTCATTATGGTTATCAAACCTCCATCCCTTTTCAAAATCTTAGTCTCTTTTTTCAGAATATTCTCCTCACTCTCCTATTTTATCTGCTGAACTCCGACTTACTGTTCAGAGCCCAGCTTGAAATTCAATTCCTCTTTATATGATTTCCTGTGTCTTCTATTATGACCTCATCAGGAGAGTTCACTGCTCCTCATCTGTATTCCCACAGCACTTTGTAGAATGCAAACACATTCAATATTGAACCTTCATCTTATTCAGAACTGAACTTACTACATGACATACAGTAAGTGTTCAATAAGTTGGTTGACTTTGCAAATGTTTATTGAGCACTTGCTATACGCTGGACATTGTTTTAAGTGTTGACAATATAATGATGGGAAAAACAGACACAATTTCCACCTTCATAGGGCTATAGCTTAGAGGAAATTATAACCAACAACAACAATAAAGAAACAACAAGTGTTTATTTAGCTTCTTTGCATTCCCTGTGTCTTGTATAATCTTTGTTAACCTAAGAAATTAACTTCTTATATGTGAAATTGCTGGTTTCGTGAACTAGTGAATGCATAATTATCAAATAATAGGTATATAATCATTAGAAAAACTGAACATTATAGTCATATGATGCCTGAAGCTTGTTCTATTATTTTTTCTATAAAGGGGGATGACTGAAGAAGGAATAAATATGTCAGATGTATGAATATCAAAGCACATGTATGTACATAAGTGTGTTTCTCTGAGGCACTTGGAGGGATATAAGTGAAAGGAAAAGATGAATATATTAGGAGATGTTGAAGAGGCACCATGCTACGAAAAACAGGCTGCTGTTTACTCTTCGGTTACATTTTTTGACAGCGTTCCTGATAGTCCCAGACATCATGAGTTTTCTGTCCAGTGTCCTGCAGTGTTACTGAATTTTCAAGCAGCTATGTGAATTCTTCCAGGCATTAGTTTGGTCGGCCATTGCATTGTTTGGCAGGCCGAACAAAAGGCAGCCACTCAGTTCTATTGAAAATGAGGACAGCATTCATTAATTTAGAAAGATGAGGGAGTGAAGCAACTCTTGGTGGTACTTCAGATTCATTGTAATTGATGATTAAAATTTCCATAAAATTTTCCCTTAAGAACAAAATACATTATAAACGGCTTGATAATGCTAATCTTCATAACATATGTTTCTTAATCTAAAGAGGTAATTTACTCTCACCATTTATCGCACCTAAAAAACATCCCAATGCTGTGTATGACTAAAATCATACTGTTAAAGAGGCTGAGATAAATCATGCAGGCAGATGGTGGTTATTCAAGCCAAACTAGAATCAATCTTTGAGTCGTACCAAACACTTTTCTGACACTCCCAGTCATGACAGAAAGGCTTAAGTGGCACTTTTCTCTGAGAACCTTTCTCTGGCACAGATTGGAAGGTCCCAGAACACGACCAGCTTAGCTGCTCCTGATGACTGTTAATGAGATCCCAGAATTCAGAACCAGCCAGAACCTATTTACTCTCCTTTCACGGTCCCCATTTTCCCTTCTATTTGGTCACATCTCCTCTTAGCATGACAAAGAGCGTTGGTACCATTTCCTGACCAACGTCCCAGTTAAGGCTCTTCCAAGCAACCCAAACACTAGGGCCTCTGTCATTCAACTCCATTTCCCAGTTGAGGTTTCCTTGCTGTAGACACAATTTTTTTCAATGCCAGAGATGAGAAAAACTGTGTGTGGTATGGAGAGGAAGGGAGAATAAACTTAGATATTAAAATAAGAATATTTCAAATAAAATAAAATAAGAAACTCTTAAATATTTCACATGAGAAAAATCAGTGTTGATATTGTTTCAGTCCTTAAGATGAGCTCAGTACTGTACTAAGCATTTACGTCTATTGTTTCATTTAATCCTTAACTGACCTATCTATGAAGTAGGTCCCATTATTATTCCCATTGTACAGCTGTGTAAAGAGATTCAGAAATATGTGAACGGACGGAAAGGAGTAAATTTACTTTAAATGCATTTATAACAAGGTTACAAACACAGGTGGCTGGTGTGAGCTAAGCAAGAGAAAACTGGTAAAAGGAAACAGCAATTCTCAGATTACTATTTCTCCTTCCATCTCTTAGAAAGGATCAGATAGGAATTTGAAAGCCAGTTATAAGACTTAGTCACTGCTAAGTTGACAAAAACAAGCAATGGGGAAAGGACTCCCTGTTCAATAAATGTTGCTGGAATAACTGGCTTAGCTGTATGCAGAACATTGAAACTAGATGCCTTCCTTAGGCCATATACAAAAATCAACTCAAGATTGACTAAAGATTTATGTAAATCCTGAAATGCTAAAAACCGTAGAAGAAAACCTAAGAAATACCATTCTGGACATAGGCCCTGGCAAAGATTTCACGATGAAGACGCCAAAAGCAATTGCAACACAAACAAAAATTGATAAATGGGACCTCATTAAAGATCTTCTGCACAGCAAAAGAAACTATCAACACAGTAACAATCCAAAGAATGAGAGAAAATATTTGCAAATTATGTATCTGACAAAGGTCTCATATCCAGAATCTATAAGAAAGTTAGATAAACAAGCAAAAAACAACTTCATTAATGGTGGCTCATGCCTGTAATTCCAGCATTTTGGGAGGCTGAGGTGGGCAAATCATGAGGTCATGAGTTGGAGATCAACCTGGCCAACACGGTGAAACCCTGTCTCTACTAAAAATGCAAAAAGTAGCTGGGTGTGGTGGCATGCACCTGTAATCCCAGCTACTTGGGAGGCTGAGGCAGGAGAATTGCTTGAACCCCGGAGACAGAGATTGCAGTGGAGGACAAGATAGAGCCATTGTACTCCAGCCTGGGTGTCAGGACAAGACTCTATCTCAAAGAAAAAAAACTCCATTAAAAAATGGTCAAAAGACATGAACAGACACTTCTCAAAAGAAGGGCATACACACAGTCAACAAGTATATGAAAAAATGTTCAATATCACTAACTATTAGAGAAAAACAAATAAAGACCACAGTAGGATATCATCTCATACCAGTCAGAATGGCTATTATTTCAATAAATAACAGATGCTGGTGCCATAGTGGAGAAAAGTGGATGCTTATGCACTGCTGCTGGTGGGAATGTAAATTAGTTCAGCCACTGTGGAAAGTAGTTTGGGAATTTCTCAAAGAACTCAAAACAGAACTACCATTCAACCTAGCAATCCTATTACTGGGTATATACCCAAAGGAATACAAATCATTCTACCATAAAGACACATGCATGCATATGTTCATAGCAGCACGATTCACAATAGC